TCCCTTTTTAATCTTTTATGTGGCAGCCAAACAGCTCCAGTCGGGTATAAAACAAAGCCAAAATCAAAATCAAAGGCAAAAATGGGGTTTTCCGATAGTGGAAGGGAGGCTATGTGACCTCCAAGCAACACAATTATAGAGTCCCAGATCCCCAGCAGAAGAGAGAAAGAGCGAAGTTATCTAATATTTTAAAAATAAGTATCTTGTGGTTTAGAGAAAGTCTTATTGATTATAACTATAATTAGAATCTGAATGGTACAAGTATTTCATGTGAATTGAATGCTAGTTTGGCTGCTTACAGAATTCTTAGGTAACACATTTCTTTCAAAAGGCTACATAAGTTGTTCCTTTTTGTTTTCAGTGTTTGGCATTTTGTATTGCAGAAGGAAATCTGATGCCAAAACTTTTGCCTTTTTTTTTGGTAGGCAATCTACTCCTGGTGTTCCCCTCCTCCCCCTCACGTGTTTTTAAAAAGCTTTATTTTTTTAAATTAAAAATTCCTTAAGATATATGTTTTTTGTTAAGTGCCGAGTTGGTTCTAAGTCTTAAGAGTCCCTGTATAGGGTTCCAAGGAGCAGTAGGTGATTTTGAACTGCCAACCTTGTGGTTTGCAGTCCAGTGCTGATCCTACAGTGCCACATCAGAAGTCCTCCTTAAGATACATCTAATAACATTTTTCTGTAAGTTACAAGTTACTTTTAGAAGAAACCCAGCTTAGAAATTTACAAAGGTTCCAAGCTCAGGAAAAGTAGAACTAGTTAAAAAAATGACAGAACTGAAGTCATCCCAGGAGCTAGAAACTCTACTCAGTCCTTCTCTTACTTGCTGTCTGCCTCTCATGTGCGCTGATTGGATTCCTTTAGCTTTAGCTTCATGTGGCAAATCAGCAACCTAAGCCTTACTCTACATAGTCCTTTAGTTTCATTACTCAATTATCACACTGAAAATTTCTTGTGGCTTTTACCTCAGATTGACTAACCCAGTTATATATATATATATAAAACATTATTTATATATATATATATAAATAACTAGGCCACAGTTTCTTTGGGCACTGACAGCCAATGATGAATCCATCTCTGGTGCAAGACTGTGCGTACATGGTTCAATGACCAATCAGTGGGGCTAAGTGTTTAGATTCCAAAAGATGTAGGTGTGGCAAGTAAGGTTTGACATCTCTATCAGTTATTTCTCACTAATGTTACTTAAAATTCAATGGTCACCTTCACTTGTAAGCAGTAAGTTTGAGCATTTTTAATTTTAAAAATGTTAACAATCACATAACTTCAAGAAAATAGTCACAAATGTAAAGAATTATCCTGAAAATCAGAAGAAAGTGTATTTAGCACCAAGAACAGTATTATACATTTAGAACATACAAGTTGACAGAAGCATTAAAGGCCTAACAAAACCCAGTGTATAGGTTTAAAGACTACAGAAAAAGATACAAGAATGACAGGAAAATGACTTGGTGTTTACAGGAGTCACATTCGATAGGCTTCAACAGTACAATGTAGTATTTTAAAATCAGCATGAGGGGAATATGCTCATTAGAAAATATAAAAATTTATACTCTTTTGGCCACCAGGACTTTTGAAAAATCATTGTTTGGCAAGTCTTAATGATCTGACTACTCAATCTGTCTTCAGCTCTGGCAATTTTTGTATTCTTGCACTGTTCTTTTCCTATCTTAGATACGATGAAACTCTATATTGCACTGGTTTCTATCCTCAGCCCTTCACATAATTAACCTTGTGTTAGTACCATGACCCACATTTTACATAATGAAAGTGCTATTTGTATGAAGCTTATCCTTTATTTCACTATTTCCCTCATAGAAAACTTTCCCAGGTTGTATCTGGTTGTTAAGCATTCCTATTGTAAATAATAATCTGGGCAATTTTTCACAGAAATCAATCTTTCCTTAAAGCTTCCTTTTTCATAGAGACAGTGTCTTCTGATCTTAATGCAAATTCAAATGAGAAATTCCTAAAGTACTTGATTTTTACAATAACTGTGTCAAGGTTAGCTGAGCCCTCAGAGCCACTGTCTGACAAATTACTTATTTATACATGTCAGGCAAGTTTATCCATCACTTTGGATGTGAGATGGGCTGTATCAAATCAACATTCAAATTTGTACCATCTAGAGGAAGGAGAGAAAAGTTCCAATTGGTTGGTAAGTAGTACTTTGTCAGATTTAAGTTTCAGTTGTTAAGTAACTGGAGCTGAAAGCATTCACTCAAGAAGCTTCACTGTGAAAACTGAGGGCAGATTCTCAAGTGCGCTCTTCAGTCCAGCAGCAGCTCCTGTGAAACTTGCTAGAAATGCTAATTCACAGGCCTCACCTCAAACCAAGTTAAGTAAAAAATTATGAGAGCGGGGCTGAGTTTAATTTTAATAAGCACTTCTGATGATTCAAATGCACTCTAGTCTGAAAACCACTGCCTTGCTTTGTTCTAAAGCTAGATAGGGCACTGCTCTGCACTTTTATTAGCAGACATTACAATTCTTCCCTAATCCTTAACACTAGGGTATTTGTTGTGTGCTAGTCAGTTCAGATTTATGGGGACCCTATGCAGGGATTCTGAGGCTGTAAATCTTTATATAAGCAGAAAGCTTCAGATTCCGCACCCCCCCCCACCTGCCCCATGGAGCGGCTGGTGGATTTGAACTGCTGATCTTGCAGTTAGCAGCACAATGCTTAACCCATTATACAACTGGTGTTAGTCACTTTTAACAGGCATATACTATGGTTATTTGGCCTGTACCCTTTGAATTTCTAAAGAATTGCAATTTTGCCCCTCTATTAATCATCTCTAACTAGAGTCTCATCCAGAACCTTTCCCTAAACGGACAATGTGGAGTTATTGGCCATTCTTCTAGTCCAGGTGTTGGTACAGGAATACCTGAGTTTTCTGACATGTGGAAGGCACTCTTCTTTCACTTCCAGTACTGTTGTGTTTTTTTCCGTTTACTTGAATCAAAGGCAATTTTACTTAATTGATTTAAATGCCATCGCTTCAATAAAGATATTCTTGTATTTTATAAAGACTGGCATGCAGTAATTCAGAAAATAGAAAATCAGAATTAAAGGAAGAAACAAAAAAAACCATGTATCTCTGTAGTATAAGGCAGCCTTTTGAGTATAAACAATTATTATTCACAAACTATTTCTTTTAAAGTTTGGCAAAAATTTGAATGTAGATAAATTACAGAGAAGTAAACTAAGGTGTTTGCAAGGTGGTGCAGTGGAGAATATGGGGCACTTTGGAGTCAAACACTTTGATTCAAATCATAGCACTTTACTGGCATGTTAGCTTAAAAAATCATCTTCATTATATGGTATAAATACAGAAAAGACAGGTAATTAACAACGTGATTTATGGGTAGTAGATGTGTTTACTCCCCTCATGCCCCACCATGCCTAAAAATCATTTTCCTTTCCAAATCCAAGTGTAGGAATTACATTAAAAAATGATTACTTCAATTTATTGAACATGTAAATTGAACAAATGAGCATTTGTCATCATCTTCACCCTCTGTTATCTTAGAATAAATTCAGGGAAGATATCAAGTAAATTATTTTTGCAGATTACTTTATCCATTTATTTTCTTTCAAGAAGGAAGGGGTATGTTGAAAGAAGGGGATATGAACACACACCCTAAGACTCTGCCTGACCATCAATACGTTTTCCTAAATAGGCAGGGATAATCATATTAAATTTTTACCTTTGGAGTTCCATGTGATTTGCAGTTTCTGATTTGCAGTTTCTGAGTATGGCTAAGTGCTAACTGTACTTGACTGCTGGAATTTAGCCATAACATATAGGGTGACAAAACGTGTTTATTCCAGACATATACTTAGAGGATGAAAGGAAGACAGTTACATTATAAAGCTTGGAAAAGACTGCTTCTGCCTAAGAATTATAGATTAATTTTCCAAGTTTAGAATTCTATTATGAAAAAGGAAACTATACAGGTCTCTTATGATAGATGCCTAATCCTGTCTATGTAGTATACAATGCTGTCTTATGAATTTGTTTCAAATGAGCTCCACTGGAGTTTAGAAAAAGAAAACATTTAAGTGGAAAAATATTAAGTATCAAGAATAACCACATAAAGAAAAATTTCAGGAATGTTTAAGTGCCAATGCATCATCAACAGTCTTCTTCATTTGTTTTTATTACAGTAAGAGGAATTTAACTCTTAATGCATAGAATTTGAAGAAAAAATTTATATAAGTTTTTAAGAGGCCCTTTTGATAATTATTAATACAAATTTGAAATAAGACCCTTCAAACAAATACCAGTTTCAGTAATAGTTTACATACAGCAATAATTTATTCTGAAATGTTCATTTAGTTTCTGTTGAGACACGAGTCATGTCTCATTAATAAAGAGCAGCCATCTCACCTCAAATACCAGAATATACAACAAGTTACAGCATAGCAAAAATTCTACCTACTTTCAGATAAAATCTAGTTCAGGTAAAATAGTTTTCATTCAAAGTTTTACAGTTACACATTTTTTTTTTAGCACAAAATTGTGTTAATTGTTACACTGTAGCTATATATGCACATCATGTGACCACAGAACTGTTAATCATTATTTCTGAAATTGAACCATCAGTTTCATTCATGCAGTAAAGCACAGCAGGCTGGGTAAACTTGTTCATGGGGAACCATATTACTGTGAATTTCACAGCCACATGATTAATTATGACATTAGATGAACTCACAATGACTAAAACAGGTTTTTTTTTTGTTTTTTTTTTGCATAAATACCAATTTCTCCCTGATGATTAGTCAGTTTATAATCTAGAATGATTGATAACAGCAATATAGCATATCTTCTATCTGTAGTGTTCATTATTTTAAGACAAGCAATAATTAAAGGATGATGGTATGGGATGCTACTTAAATACATGTAAAACATACTGTACAAATATACTTGGCTTTACCATTTTCTTAACTATCAAGTGTGCCTCCCAAAATAAGACCAGTGAAGACAAAGTATACTATCAAATATGGCTTCCAGAACAAAAATTCTCTACCAAGAATCAAACCTATTTACAAAATGTTTCAGTCTTTTAAAGTTTCATTTGAAACAAAATCTCTACATAGCAGTTGTAATTAACACATAATTTTCTGTTTCATCATTCCAGCTCTTTTAAACTGATGTTACAAGGTAAGACCCAGAATGGCGCTTAGGACTTTGAGTTCCATTGGATTCTGTGTTGTCCGTTTTTGAATCTCGTTTTTTTGTGTTGTTATTCACTGGTGTTGGGATCTGAGATGGCCGGGCTGAAGTGCTATCTGCACTACTTTTCCTAGGGCTTGGGTTGTAATTAAAAGGAGTAACCCTGGCAGCAACGGTCCCACTAGGTGAACTATGTTTGCTTGAGCTGCTAGAACTAAAGGGTGTACGCTCAGCTATAGAGCTTTCATTATTCTCTGATGCAGGGACGTTACTTTGTCCCGGTTTTGCCTCAGTTCCTTTTTGGTCTGGGCTGTCTACCTGAATAAAAGAGTTCAGGTGGTTTTCCAAACCCATGGTGCATATAGGAAGACTGCCACCATTACCCACAGTTTGTTTTCCCTGATTATCTTTTGAATCTTTAGCATTTGGATTTCCTTTTTCTAAAACACTGTCAATCACTGGGGGAGTATTTCCCGTGGGAGATCTTCCGGATCTAGGATTGTTAATGGGACAGTCCTCAATTCTTACCCAAACATCTTCTGTTTTAGAAACAGCAGGTGCCATTTGATAAATTTGAGTCTTTGATTCAGCACCATTTGTAGCACCTGAGGAAGTGGTTTGAGACGTACTATTTGTGGGAGAAATATCACTTTCTTTTATTTTTCTCCACGTTCCTTTTGTGGGTACTTGGTTTTCTTTACTTTGTTTGGTTGTTGACACAGAGTTCACATGTTTTTCATCCTCACTCTTTGCTTTTTCACTGGATTCTGATGAAGCAGAAAGAATTGAAGATGAACTTCCAGTTCTTCTCCAAGTGCTTACTCGAGGAAGGGATGACGAATGTTTGCTGTGCTCACGTTTCCAGGTTCCTGACCTATTGATTGGAAGTCTGGAAGGACTTTCAGAATGGGAACGTGCTATATCATGGCGCTTTGCTGACCTTCCATCATTGTACTCTATAGTAGGACTAAGATTAGGTGGGAGTTTTCGCCACCCACCGGGCTGAACAGATGAATGTGCGGTCAGAGACATATCGGGAAGGGAAGGACTTAAAACTGGAGTTTGTGCCTGTGATCTAGTGGGAGAATTTGGCCTAGAAGATGGAGAAAGAGATTCAAATGAAGCAGATTCCTCCAGTTTTCTCCGTAGGGTTGGGCTTGGAGCTTCTTTGATGAAAGTTGACTGGCGTACTAATACAGGTCTCTCTGATCTATCAGATTCACTTCCACTAGATTTGGTTGAAGACATTCTAGACAGTTCTACCTTTTTATTGGATCCGTTGCTATTATTCATTTGATTTAGTCCCTTGGAGGCAGACTCACTTCTTGGGATACCACTGCCATTCTTGGAAAAACCTGATGATTTGGTTAGGTTCTGTTGGCTCAGCTGTCTACCTGGGGAGGTATATGACATTTTCCCAGAACCAGAGGACTTGGTTGAAGCAGTACTAGGGGATGAAGTCCTTGGCAGCTGAGATAGTTTATTAGGAGGGCTTATTCCATTTCTACCAGGAGAAATTGAGTTTCGCCCTGGAGACTGCATAGGTCTACTTAGTGGTTGTTGGGTGGGTCTTGAAGGAGTGGAATCTCTGGATCCTGATCTAGAAGGCCCTTTATTTGACCCACCTGGTTGGGATGTCTGCCTGGTAACAGGGCTTACTTCTGACTTTACTGATGGCTTGGCTCCTCTAGGAGAAGTGGTGGCTGTCTGATTTTCATTAGGACTTTTGGAGGCAGGAGTCTTAAGGGGTGGGCCTTTTTTAGAAACAGGACTTGTACTTGAAGAACTATTTCGAACTCCTGGAATATGAATCATTGTCCTACCTCGAGAAATTGAAGGCATGTTTGTTTGAAGAGGCTGTTTTATTTGGCTTAAAACTTCTGAATTAGATCGTACTTTTCCAGTAATCAAGCTTTTATAAACTTTTTTCCCTCCCTTGATTCCTTTATTTTCAGATTCTATCTTTTTAGTCTCCAATGTGCTTTTCTCTCCAGGTTTTAAAATTCGTGGGCCTTTATTACTTGCAAAGGGTTTTTCCTCTTGATCAGGTGTAAGATGAAATGGTGACCCCAAAGAGATTCCTGATTTCAGCGAAAGGATAGAGTCTGAATCAGATGAAGCCTGTCTAGATAAACAAGCAGCAGCAGCAGCTTGATGTAAACTACTTACTATGGAATTTGCACCTTCTTGAATAGCTTTCCAATCAAAATTTTCTGAATCAGGAGATAAACCATGTTCTGAATCTGGTCTCTGTATGTCTTTCAAATCAAGTGTCAAATCTTCTGCTAATATACCACCCATATTTCTGGGGCTATGCTTTTCATTATCACCCTTGAGTCTTGAAGGTTTTTTCTTTTTTGGCATTGCAGAACTTATACATTCTTGTAAAAGGTCATCTTCAGAATCAATACTAAGAGAACTGAGAGAACTATTTCTTGAGAAACAAACAGGTGTATCTTCAACATGAAATGATTTAGGGGCATAACCTAATGCCTGAGGTTTACTAGGCTCTCCCTGAGAATCAGGGGGCTCATTCTGTTTGACAGGTTCATTTTCTTTGTTGTTGTTGTTTTCTTGGTCAATGTCACTGAGTGAACTCAAAGAGGAATTACGAGAAAAGCAAACTGGAGTATTTTCAATGGCAAAATTTTGTAATTTTTCATCAGTGGCTGCCCCTCTGTCTGGTATGTCTTTGGATGACTGTGGAAAAGTGGACTGCTTCTGCAGTATGGGCTTAGGCTGACCTCGATTTATTGGATGTTTTGTAACAGCCTGTGTCTTAACAGCTGATTGTTGGCTTGAGGTTGTTTCTGTGTGGCTGGTAACTTTAGCTTCTGAATCCTTATTTTCTTTGCCCTTTCTTAATTCAGCCTTTTCTCTGGAAAGGTCAACATCATCATCATCAAAATCTAGAGAGCTCAAAGAATCATTTCGTGAAAAGCAGTAAGGAGTTCCTTCAATAGGGGTGTAATGATGAGGTGAATCAAAAGTAAAACTGCCTCTGACTCGATCTTCATTGTTTGGCAGCTTTTCATTGAAGTTGGAATTATTTTTCAAGTTCTGTTTCTTTGAGTCTTTGTCTGGGAAAGTTCTTTCAGCATTCATATTGTTTTTTGTATCGGTATTTTTTCTTACACGTGTCCTGTATTCAGTATTTTGCGGCATAGGTTTTACTGGTGAAGTAGGTTTCTTTTTCTTACCATCTAACTGATTTTTGTTGGTTCCAGATGAAGATGCAGATGCAGATGCTTGCTGGACTTGGTCCATTATCTTTTTCACACGGAATGGCTTGTGACTTTTTCCTTTGGGCATAGCAGAATTAATACATTCTGCAAGAATATCACCTTCCTCTGTCTTATTATCATCCAATTCAGGTATTATAGATGAAGTTTTTCCTCTCTGGGCCTCATCTGTACTTCTGCCTTCTGTGGGAATGGTGTCTCGTTTTTCAAATTCACCTGTCTGTTCCCCTACTCTAGCCCCTTCTCCAGTAGCTAATTCATTTGGAGGTGATTCTATTGTTAAATCACTTAGAGATGTAGCTGTGGAAAAGTTTATAGGAGTCCCTTCTACACAGTACACCCGTGGCATCCCGTGCTTTTGTGCTTGTAACCGGTTTTGTGATGGTAGGAGTTTGTAAACCGGCAGCTGACTTGGTTTCCTTGCCACAGGTGGAGGTACTTTTGAGGCAGTCTGGGCTGCCTTTTTGGCTTTGTGGGATGATTTTGTTGGCATTGCAGAAATAATACATTCTTCTAATATTTCAATGTCATCATCATCTGAATCATCTAACAGATCTTTTTCAGAGTCAATAGGTTTTTCTGCCTCTTTCTCCTGGTTTTCATTGGATTCTTCAGTCTGCTCAGGTTCTGTTTCATTCCCATTATCATTTTCCTGAACTGGAGGCATTATTTTTAATTCTACATCTTTCTGTATAAATGGCTCATCAAGGCTCAGAGCACTCAGACTGGATGAACAAGAAAATCCATCTGGAGTACTTTCTGTAGCAAAATGTAATAAAGTATCAGCATCTGGGAGAACCTGGACTCGCTGAACTGCAGCATTTACAGCAGCTTGCTTAGGTCCACTCTCTCTCTTTTCAGCATTAGATGCTTTACTTTTAGATGCTTCTCGCTTAGTCTGAACTGTTGGAGGAGGAGGAGGGGTTTTACTTCTGCTTGGTGGCATGGTTTGTCCAGGACTGTCTGGAAGGTCACTGGGACTGATAATGCCACTTATCATTCCACTACACGGTTCACTCTGAACAGAGCTAGCAATTGAACGACTCTCAAAACTATCCAGTGAACTGACAGAAGTGCATCTGCTAAACATGAGTGGCGTCTCCTGAACATAGTGCTCTGGTGGACTTTTTGGTGTCTGAGCACCACTCTTGGATGGAGATTTGGCCCCTGAAGAAAACTCAACAGCCTTGTGCCTCGTTGATTCTGAAGATGATAAACCAGACGCCTGGAGTCTGTTGGATTTGGTTCTCATGTGCTGAGACACTGTTGGAACTTCACTCACAGTATCCTCAGTTGATCTAGTGCCACTGCTTTCTTTCAGTTCTGCTATTTGCAGAGTATTAGCAGAATCTGTTTCCTGCGTCGTCTGATCACATCCTATTTCATCTTCAGCGGATGACAAAGATGACAATGAACTACACCTTGAAAAACATATTGGGGTATCTTCTACACAGTAAGTCTGTATTGTTTCTTGGTTAATAGAGGGAACTTTGCAAGAGGCAGCCTTTTGAGTCTGACCACTTCTGCTTTGTGCTGAGCTTGGATGAAGCTGATTCTGCCTCTTGCCATTAGATGAAGGTGTGGATGCATTCTCAGTGCTTGAAGAGATGTGTTCAGTTTTAGTGCTTTGTCCAGATGAATTCTTGGAGAATGAAAATGATGGTTTCTGTGAGGAAGGGATATCTGTGGCATATTTTAAACTATAATCAATAGGCTGATCTATGTGATGTTTCTCTTCATTATATTTTATGCTGTAATTTGTTGGTCTCTCTTCTTCCTCATGCTGCTCTTCCTCAGAGTAACGTTCACTATAGTTGGTTGGCTTATCATCTTCATAATCATCTTCCTGACACAAAGACTGGTTTACGTTTTGATTAATTCCATGATTAGAACCCGCTCTATTAGTTTCTGCACCATTGGCTCCCCTTGACCTAAATGGGGAAACACATTCTTGTTGTCCAAAATGTGGTTGGAACTTGAGGTGTTTCTCCTCAGTGCTCTCATTATACACGGGAAAAGTTGTGCTCGGACTCCTCGATTGTCTTTGCTCACTTTGCTTTAGTTCATCTTCTATTATGTGTTTGGGTCTTGCCCATCTTTCATTTTGTGAAGGACTTTGCCTTCCAGAGTTCAACTGCTCATCTGAATATTTAAGACTATAATTTATCGGTGTATCTAGTTCTTCATCATTATCATCCATATGATTTGCACTATGGATTTTATGGGCTAGGTCAGCTGGATATTGGCCATAACTGCAAAATTTGCTTTCATCATCTTCAGAATAGGATTCAATTGAGGGTTTCATTTGACCTCTTTTACCATAGCCATCACTACTACTAACACTATTTAAACTATCATTTGAAGATCTCTTGTATTCCAATTTGGCATAAGGCATAGGGCACGTCCTATTTGCATTTTCTGACTTTGTGAAGTTGTAAGTGTTTGAGTGTGCATGAGCAGCAGAGCTTCTTCTCAGTGCATTCCTTTCATCTGTTACACAATGTAATTCAGTGGTAGACCCAGAACTTCTGTCTTCCTGGGGAGTATGAATGGCTGACACTTCCTCTATGACTTTGGCAATCTGGGCTGCAGTAGTGGAGATCTGCAAACCTCGCTTTGAAGAAGTGCCTGGATTTTCTGTTGCTGGATGGTAGCCACCTAGGCTAAGACCTCGCTCTCTCTCCAAACTTTTATCCTTTTCAGAACGAGAACTATCCAAGCTTCCTCTTGATGACGAGGAGCTAGGCAACACTGTAGTATTTAAATATGGTGAAAGGACAGTCATGTTTCCAGCATTAAAATTGTCTGACTTATTATCATCGTGCCGAGTGGCGTCAAAAACATAGTCACCATAGAGATTTTGCTTGTGTCTCTGCTTACTACGATGAGACGCCTTGGGACTTAAATTGTCAATATTATCAAAAGTTTCTGATAAATGCTGAGCATCTAATTCTGCTTCGAGCGCTTTTTGCTTTCTCACATGAAGAGATGGCAAGCTTGAACCAGGAGACATAATATTGGCATCCTTGTATTTTGCAGGCCGATTTGCCATGAGATTCCTTAAAGCTGCAGCACTTCCCATGGCTATCATTTTGTGCTTTGAATGAATGAGGTTCTTGAGCATGCTAACTGCCCCCATATCCCATAATGCCTCCTGGTCTTTAGGATTTCTTGCTGAGAGATTCCACAAGGTTCCACAGGCATTACTGACTATGGTCAAACTGTGAGATTTTAAGTGTTGTAATAAGGTTTGTAGGCAGTTGTTCTCTCTTAGGATTTGCCTGAAATTATAAAAGAAGAAACCACAAAATTAAGGTCTGAATTTGGGTATACTTGCAGCAAATAAAGTAAAACAAATTTAATTCTATAGTGATAACTGGTGGTGGTAGTGGTGATTATGTGCTGTGGAGTCAGTTCCGACTCATAGTGACCCTGCATAGGCTTTTTTTTACTTCCGAGGCTGTAAATCTTGACAGGAGTAGAAAGCCTCATCTTTCTCCCACGAACAGCTGGCAGTTTTGAACTGCTGACCTTGAGGAGGTTAGCAATCAGACTGGTAACCACTATGCTACCAGAGCTCCTTTCATGGTAGTTCTTAAATTGGGGAATTCTATCATCAGATGAACAGAGTCAATGTATCTGCTGAAGAAAAATTTTAAAAGCTATTCAGTCAGAATAGGTCATGAATACTAGATTAAATTAACTTCATTTCTAACAGTTGAGTATTTTAAAACAAACACTAAATGAGCAAAGAAAAGAGAAAAAGGAAATATATAATGCTCATGTTTTATGGAATAATTTGATAGAATTTTGTACTCATTAATGTTATAGTAGTTATGATAACAGAATACTCATCTGTTAGATATAAAAAAAGGGTTACTTTTACTCAAGTCTTCATGACCTATTCTCACTCAACAGCTTTTAAAACTTTTTCTTTTAACAGATACATTGACTCTATTCATCTGATGACAGACTACCCCAATTTAAGGACTACCATGAATGCTTATGCTGACTAGGGATGTTGCAGTCATTTACTCTATAGATAGGTGCCACAATACTGACCACAGTGATAGCCTGTAAGAGGTAGGTGGAGGTGGTAGTGAAGTGCCATCAAGTCAGTTGTGACTCACAGTGACCCCTTTCTGAGGCTGTAAATCTGTGTGGGGCCAGAGAGCCTCATCTTTCTCCCATGGAGTAGCTGGTGGGCTTGAACTGCTGATCTTGTGGTTCGAAGTCCAATGTTTATCCTCTAGAGCCACCGTTCTCCCAAGAGGTAGAGGTAGGTGGGAGGAATGATAATTTTTATGTAGTCAGAGAGCAAACAGAAAGCTCCTAGAGCAAGGAGTCCTGGTGTGGCGTTTTAGGATAAGCACTGGACTGCTAACCACAAGGCTGGTAGCTCAAACCCACCAGTTGCTCCTTGGAATACTTACAGGGTTGTTATGAGTTGAAACTGACTTGTGAGCACATAACAACAGATTAGCAAACTGACTTTTAAAGGTAATTCTTATTATCTCTTGCTGGATTTTGTGATATAGCCAATCCTTAAAAGTGCTCTTGGGCAAATTGTGTATGTAGTCATTGTATTTAAAAAGAAAGTGAATTAGTTTTCTGCAAGGTTGGCAGTTCAAACTCACCAGCCCCTCCTTGGAAACCCTATACAGGGCTGCTATGAGTTGGAATTGATTTGATGGCACTTAACAACAATAAAAGAGAGAAGTGTTGAGAATCAGCATATTGAATCCTGGGACTTATTGAAGTCTAATGACAGCATATTCAGCTTTATGGGCTTTACAATGGATTGGTCTGGGTGCATGAAAGGCGTTGTCTTCGTGGTCTCTCAGCAGTTTAGTAATTAATTGAGAGATTCCTGAGTTTAAGGAGTCTTCTTTGTTTAGAAGAAAGGGATATAGGTATTTATAGTGCAGCAAAAACTTAAAAGACACTTACATTCTTTACAGACTTTTACCCAAAGTCTTTTTGAAAATGAGAGGACAGTGCTAGACAAATTAAAAAACAAAGCAACACTGCTGTGGAACACAGCTACATTTTTAGCAACATACCAGAGCCCAAGCTCGGGACCATGAGCCTGTAGATGAGGTGCTCACCTAGCTATCACGCGGCTCCAGCAGACTGGATGAGTGATTTTTGGCTAAGTGATGGCATAAATATTGATGTCAAGGCATCATTAGAAAACTGCTTTCTGGATCTTATCTATAAGGTATGCTAACCTGTTTATTTTACAAGCCTTATATTCCTTTATAAGGAGCTCTGGTAGCGTAGTGGTTATGAATCAGGCTGCGAACTGCTAGGTCAGCAGTTTGAAACTACCAGCTGTTCCACGGGAGAAAGATGAGGCTTTCTGCTCCCATATAGACTTACAGCCTCAGAAACCCTGTACAAGGTTGCTGAGTCAGGACCGACTCCACAGTACATAACCACCACCACCATATTCCTTTATGCCACACTAACAAACAGGAAGGGATTTTGGGCTATTTAGCATCTGCGACTAGTCACTAGTTTCCTCTTACTAGAATAAATACATTACTGCATTGAATGAATAATTAATAGTTATATTTTCACCATGATAAATGTATTTTGGCTTAGAACTTACATAATTACACAAAACACTTTTGAATTAGGACTATTATTAAAGGCATAAATTCTATATTAATTCATTTAAAAAATAACATCAAGTTCTCTATATACCTGTGGTCCTCATTTGTAGCTATCAAGCTGGAGACATTGCGTAGTATCCCACCTCCACTTTCAATAATGGCTAAAGTATTTGTCTGGCTCCGGTAAGTGAGAGTGCCAACCAAAAATGCAAGTGCACCATCTACAGCACATATATCAGCTTTATTCTCAGTGCAGTGTGCTGACAAATTCCATAAGGCACTCAATACACTTTTGAGGGTTGATTCCTATGAAGAAACAAAATATGTCATCTAATTAGAGTTGGAATTTGTTGCTCGTAACTTCTGTTTACTGCCATTGAATAAAACCGATATTATGGTCCCTGCTGCCCACTGCTCAATAATAAAACATTAGGAATTCACCATTAAAAAACTTTATTTTCAGAAAATACCAACTGTAATTTAAGCCAGTAATATATTCCTGTAAAACAAGAATAGTAAAGACATTTATGATCTTCAAGTCCTCATTCTAAGATGGTACACACAATTCTTTAATGTGCTTATTTTAGAATATGCAACAGAACTGATATGCATTATGAAACGATAACTTTTACTATCATAGAAAGCAGAAAACTCTATATGCCATTATGCAAAGAAATCTAAGTAGTATTGTTAAATGAAAAAAAAAAAAGCAAGTTGTAGAACAGCATGTACAATATTATGTTTACATAAAATACACATACATATACTTATGATTGATTAAAAGTAGCAACATCTTACTAAAAATGAAAAAAATAAAAATAAAACCAACATCTTTACATTTTCAAAAAGGAAAAAAACAAAGTAACTGCAAAAATAGAACTCCCTAAAGATGTGGTTCTGAAGGATAAGCACTAGACCTCAATACTGGTTTGAACCACAAAGTCGGTGGTTCGAACTTACCACTCACTTCACGGAAACCCTATAAAGGGTCGCTATGAGTTGGAACCAACTTAACAACAACAATCTATAACATCACAGTAAACTGTCAAATTATAATTGCCTAACAGAGAAACACTCTTAACACTGTATTAATGATATTTGGTCTAACCTTGCCATGATCCTAGCGTCAGCTTTTCGCCTATCATAACTAGGGGCATCCCAGAGGATATAAACAGCACACTGATACCTGCTTTGAAAATGCTAACAATTTCCTTAGGGGAAAAAAATAAAAAAGCAAATATGAAAGCAAGTATTGCAAAGGAAAGATTATTACAGTTTGAATTTAGTCAAAGTATTTTATGGAGGAGAGCAACTCTCTGTAGAAATATAAGACCTGTGCATTCAGAGAAGAGGGAAAACTCCTCCTGAAAGACAAAGTAGATGAGGAAAGGCATGGAAGTGGGAGTCAGCAAGGGAGAGCTGATGAATAGAAAGACACAGAAGAGAACAAAGTCCATGATGGGAACAGTGGGAAGGTAACCCTGCATGTCACAGCAAACATTCTGTGCCTAGCTCCAGTAAAAAAGCTAGACCCTGTATTCTCTTCATCAGGAAATTAAATGAATAAACCACCTAGAAGAAGGTTAAATACCATTTAGTGACAATTTGGGAGTCCTGGTGTGGTGCTGTAGGATAAACACTGGACCACAAGTTCAGTTTGAATCACAAGGACAGTGGTTCAAAGTCACCAGCCACTCCTTGGAAATTCTATATAGGGTCTCTATGAGTCAGAACTGACTCGAGGGCACACAACAACACCCACAACAGTGACAAGTCAGTCAGAGAAGGAATTAGGAAGCAGGGAGAACTGTTTTCAATAATGAAGATATAGGGAGATAGAGCTCACTCTAAGTTATATTGTGACTGAAGTTAAAGGTGGCACGTTTGAAGTTTCCTGAGATAAGAGGAAAAATAGTAAGAGTTTAGAGGAATGAGGTAAACTTCAGCTGGTCCAGATGTGAGAGTTGAAGGTGAGAAAACAGAAATTGCTCTCCAAAAGATTACATGTAGAAGACCAGGGGTTATATTTCAAAAAGCTTTACAAATCAAGGAATCAAGAAGAAATAATTAGAGGTCTAGACATAGGGTTAGGCAGTAAATGCAAAGTGAGAAGTTTCCATAAGGTTGTTAAGTACCATTGAGTTGGTTCTGACTCACAGTAACTCTGCATAGGTTTCCAGGAGCTGCTTTTCATGGTGATTCCATATGATAAGCATTGGACTGCGATGCACAAAGCCTCATCTTTTTTCTATGGAGCAGCCGACAGGCTTGAAATGGGGGCCTTATGGTTCGAAATTCAGTGCTTATCATATGGAGCCACCATGCTCCCCTTCAATAAGTTAAGTGACCACAAAGTGCCCAATACAGGTAAAGGTTGACTCGGGTGTAATGCAGTAGGATAGGCACCAGACTGATAACCACAGGGTTGGCAATTCAAACCCTTCAGCTGCTCTTGGAAACTCTACACAGGGTCACTATGAGTTGGGACTGACTTGATAGCATTCAATAACAATAGGTAAAGGTACGATACCCAAAGTAAGCTAATAAAGCTACATTTTGTGACCTAGAAGAGAGCTGTATCAAAACAAAATTAGGGGGAATTGCAAAGGTATGGCCAGTTAAAAAAAGTATCTTGCTCAAGGCTTTGGTTTTAACAGGAAAAAGCAGTGCTGCAGTAGTTAGAAGGAGCAATAGAGAATTTTTTTTTACCTTCAAATGTTGGGCTTCTTACATAGTTGGAACATAAAAGGATCACAAAAATAGACATACATAAAAGGTCAAACAATCCAATAAAAAAAATGGGCAAAGGACTTGAACAGATATTTCATCAAAGAGAATATCCAAATGGCCAACAAACACATGAGAAGACACTCAGTATCACTTGTAATTGTTGTTGTTGTCAGGTGACATTGAGTCGGAACCAACTTATAGCGACCCCATGCACAGCAGAATGAAAGAAAGTCCAATCCTGGGCCAACCTCACTACCGCAGCCACACTTGACCCCATCAATGATGCCACCTGGCTGATCCATCTCGTTGGGGGCTCTTCCTCTTTTTCTCTGACCCTCCACCTTACCCAGCATGACATCCTTCTCTAGCGACTGTT